GATATATAGGGATTTTGGTACTCCATTTACCTTAAATTGGACGAATATATATACATATATATATATATATATGGGAGCTATACCTAAATCTGGACAGATTTTCAGCAAACTTAACACACATTATTCTAGACCTAATTCATTACGCTATTCCAAATTTCGTGCAAATCAAAAGATATATATAGACGTTGGTGCACTATTTACATTAAATCGAAGGAAAATATATATGGGAGCTATACATAAATCTGAAACGATTTTCAGGAAACGTAGACCTAATTCAGTCACTATGCCAAATTTCGTGCAAAACGAAAGATATATATGGGCAATATTGCCAATTTTTTAACATAACTGAAGCGGAGGTTCACCCCTTTATAACTCGGGAATTACTTAAGTATATGAAAAAAAGTGAATAGTTTTGGATTAATTGATCTGTCGTTGCAAACTGTTCCTGATATTGACCTCCCCACTTTATGTTGGTGGAAGCTGTGTCTACTTTAATGTAAAAAAATGTGTAAAAACAGGTTGAGGCGAACCAGTTTTTTTATGTTCTCTATCGATTTGTGAATAAGCCACTCATTTCACGGTATTCGTGTCAAAGTAAAACTACAAGCCAACAAAATGGGGACTACGCCCCTTATGTATCATTTTTCAAAAATTTAACTGCATCTGCCTATAAATGATGCTGACATTTTGAAGCTCGATTTTGAGTGATGTTTTAATTTTACTTCTAGCTTTAATACGCAAACAAGAATTTATAAAAATCGATTATACGATTATTGTAGTCGCGAATCTGCATAATTTGATATGTATTTTGTGTATGTAGTATGCACAGCTTCAGAGTAATACTCATCCGAAGGTGCGAATTTTGTGCGATCAAATTTCTAAAAAACCTATTTTTCCGACCAAATTTTTAGACCTGTCAACTGAATGATATGGGTACCCGCGATCAATAAGGGTTTTTACGTTTCGGATGATATAAAATCTTCTTCGTGAAAATCCGTCTACTAGAACGGCGGGAACTGGCCTTCCAAAAACACGAAATTTGGCAAAAAATGTTTTTGAAAATATCGCGGATTTATTTGCGTTTTCTGTGTATCATTTCCGCTTCAATAAATGACCTCATACGGATTTTGATCTTTTTCGAAAAGAGAACTTTAAAAAACTTCAGCCGAAAGAGAGATGTACGCAATTCATCTCAAAAATAGATTGTGCCGGCACATCCATGGTTCTTAATGGACCACATTGAAATCGGTATAGATCGATGTATTTTTTTAGGGTGCACACCGAAATCGGATGCGCGTTAATGGCATATGGAGTTTTCTGAAATTATTCGCGTTTTACGATTTTTTGGGTACTTCAATGCAACGTGTGGCACATCTTAGCCGTCAAATGAAATTTCGCAAAATATATATGGATTGGAAGATAAACTTCAGTACTCCCTGGAAACCGCATGCACATCAAATGATTTTGAGAATTACGCGATTTAGACGCAATTTATCTCAATAATAGTGTGAACTGGCACATCCATGGTTCTTAATGGACCACATTGAAATCGGTATAGATCGATGTATTTTTTTAGGGCGCACACCGAAATCGGATGCGCGTTAATGGCATATGGAGTTTTCGGAAATTATTCGCGTTTTACGATTTTTTGGGTACTTCAATGTAACGTGTGGAACATCTTAGCCGTCAAATGAAATTTCGCAAAATATATATGGATTGGAAGAAAAACTTCAGCACTTCCTGGAAACCGCATGCGCATCAAATGATTTTGAGAACTACGCAATTTACACGCAATTTAAAATGTATATTTCATAATATTATTTTATTTTAAGATTTATTCCTATTTATAGAATTCTAAGATTTATCGGAAGGGTCTTGATATAATCCGCAAGGCGTATACTTATACACAAAACGTGATTATTATTATATATGTCAATTTTTCGGCGAAATTCGGGTAAAATAGCAGAATAACCCCAACATTTTTTTCCGAAATTTCTTGTATACAATTAAAAAACCAGTGAGCGGAGCAGTATAGTCGGACGGGGCCGACCATACGATACCCTACACAACTACCACGAACTCTAACTTTCTGAGGATGTTTATTCTGAGTCTGAGTAGTATTTCGTGATATTTGCCCCCTGTTGTCCGATTAGAGGTCTTTCTTACTTTTTTTTCGAATATTCAGTACAGTCCTTCTAATTACTTGTCCAGATTACCTTCACGGTGGGTTGTGTTGTGATTTTCGGATTATACTCTACTCGAAAACACACAAAAAATTATGTTTTCCGTCCATTTCATCCCAAAATTGTATCCTGATCATCACCGAAAATTGTAGGCGTTGTTCTTGACTGTAACTGGAACTTCATGAAAAATTTCAAAGCCATCAGCGCGATATTTCTCCCTCTAATGTGGTAATGGGTTACTAAATAATATCTGAATACGAAAGCACCTGTAAATATTTGACTGTAACTCCCACATCTGAGTAGATACATCACTATATTTGGTATCAATTTAAAGGCCAACCACTCCTCTTGGATATGCTATCAACTCCTGGGGACTACATCCTCCAGGAGTAAATATATATGCCATAGAATACAAATTTTGCCATTTTCCACACAAAAGTCAGGGTCCATTTGACCCGCTAAATATTGACCGATCTTTATCAAAACATGCATGCTTATTCTCTGGCCCGATCCCCTTCTCCATGCAAAATTTGTTTGGGCCATAATTGCGGCCTCTGGAGCGACCAGAAAAACCGACAAAAATTTAGTATTTGGTCCATTTCATCCCCTAAATATTAACCGATCTTTTCCAAAAACAATAGGGGTCTTCATTGGCCAGAACCCATCCTACATGCAAAATTTCGTGAAGATTGGTCCATAACTGTGGCCTGTATCGTGTTTACAAATTATAATGGACAGACGGACGGACGGACGGACGGACGGACGGACGGACGGACACACATGTCTAGATCGACTCAGCTAGTCGAGATATGACGATCGGTATACTTAAAGGTGGGTCTAGGACCAATATTTCGCGGCGTTACAAACATTTGGGGCTGCACAAAGCTATAATACCCTGACAACATAGTTGTGTAGGGTATAATAAATATGATGACATTATTTTTTCGAACCAAAAACAAATATTTTTCCTCAATATCTTGTTTTGTTGTCGCTGTGATTTAGAAACCGCTACACGGACTTGTGTGATTTTGATTCATCATGGTGTTTAGATTATGTAGATATTTTTAAATTAATTTTTATGTGTGTGTATGTCATTAATATATTGAAAATATTGATGTAATCTCCTATCTTTTTTTATTTTTCTCATATTTCGCGAAGATGTGCACCTTTTTCGCGAATATTATAATATATTCATATTCTTATTTTACGGAGGAAGATATATATCAATGTTTTTGGTCAATATAATAAACGGTGTAATTTTAAGATTTTTTTCTTATGCCCAAAATTAAAACCTCGATAACTTTTACGCGCATCAACCAATAATTTGATCGCGAACGGTTTCGGAGTCAGAACATTTTTCTTTATATGTGTACCAAAAATCATTGATGTGCCACAAAAACAAAAAAGCTGATTTTTTGAAAATGGAATATTAAAAAATTGGCAATATTGCCCATATAAGACATTGATAACAATTTATATTAAATCCGGCAAAAATATATATGAGAGTTATATTGAAATCTAAACCGATTTTCACGGAACTTAACACACATCATTCTAGGCTTTCATTCATAATAACCGCATGCACATCAACGAATACGCGAACTGTATGCTTTTTAATGTTGATCATTTTTATATACTGTAACTGCAATACATTTAGTACTTTTTTAAAGTCGAAACTCTTATAAGATGAATCTACCGATATTTAACAATCATCTAAAAGAATTTGAGAAAGAAAACGTCGTATATTTTAGAAGATTAATGCAAACTATATTCCCTTAACCGTACTAAAAAAATCGAAAATTCAAACAAACGTTTTGTTTTAATTACAAAATTAATTTATTTTATTTTCCGATAATTAGCTTTTATTTGTTTTTCGCGACTCTTGAACCTAATTTCAATGTGTTTTGACAAGTATGCAAAGAAAACTAATGTGTTTAACCATTGGTTAAGAAATTCGGGAATTACAACAAACTTATGTCCCAAAAATCATGAATGTGCTCTCAAAAAAATGTTTCAAATTTTTTTTATGGAATTTTAAAAGAATTTTGTAGTTTCCCATATATTCTCTTCTCTATTCGATTTTGATTTAATTCGAAGGGAGTATAGACTATGTATTGTTATGGACACGTTTCCCACATCTATATTCCGAAGAAAATCAACACATTCCCAACCGGACTGTAAAACAGACTACCGAATTAATAAAACAAGTATCGAATATTTATAAATATTTTTATAGGCTTAATTTTTAATATTATTCGGATTGTTATTAGATAATAACCGGCTTTTCGTGTCTGGCAAAAGATGAACGAAAGAGAAAATGATAGGCTCAGTTCTAATGAACAACATTTGGCGGTCAAGAGATACACCAGCAACGGCTGAAAATAAAAATATGTATATGAATACAAATGAAGACAAAAAATGCACATGAAAACTAGTTCTGAGTTAAATGAAGTTGATGTTTTTGTTTTTAAACATTTGAGGTAGGTAATGGCTTAAGTGGTATCCTCTTTTTTTCTTTCGTTTGGTATTTACCTTTTGGTGATCATTTTTGCCAAATATAGATAGCCCCTGCCAATAGAAACGAAAGCCGAAGAGAGTTACTACAGCTGATATGTAATTTGACTACCAAAACTGGCATCTGCTGCGTCGAAACAGAAGCTACCTATATTCGAAGATGAGTTTTCTACGATAACAACCGAGAAGACATAATTTTAGATTTTCATATAAAACACCAATGGCTACAGTGAATCAACATCAGTCTCAATTCATTCGGAGACAACTCGCATAGGAATCACCTTTGATCTTCCATTTTTACAGCCTAAGCAAGAAGATTCCTAATATGAAGGTGGGTACATTCAAAGCGGAATTTGGAGTGGTATGGAATAACCAATGGAATACTTTTTCGAATTCTAGGTTTTCGTGTGTGTTTTAACAGTTTTAGTAGCTTCATGCTCAGCCGGATTCTTGGGCGGTAGCTCTGGTGGTGGATATGCTGCTGGTGGCCATGGAGGTTACAGTGGCGGTGGTGGTCATGGCGGAAGCTATGGCGGTGGCGCTGCAGCTGGTGGTGCCGTTCACACTGTTAAGGTGATCCACCAAGAAGGCGGTGCTGCTCAAGGTGGTTTTGCAGGAGGTTATGGTGGTGGCGCCCAAGGTGGTGCTGCCGTCAAAACCATTAAAGTCATTCATCAACAACAAGCTGGTGGTTATGCTGGAGGTGCCTCTGCTGGTGGTTTCGGTGGTGCCCAAGAGGTTAAGACCGTTAAGGTTATCCATCAAGAACAAGCCGGTGGACATGGTGGTTATGCTTATGGTGGTGCTGGTGCCGCTGTTGGTGGTCAAGCCGTTAAGACAATTAAAATTGTTCACCAACAACAGCAACAACAACAATATGGTGGTTACTCTGCCGGTGGCGGCCAAGAAGTCAAGACAATCAAAGTGATCCATCAACAACAACAGCAACAGGGTGGATACTCAGCTGGTGGTTATGCTCATGGTGGTGCTGTCGCTGGTGGCCAAGAAGTCAAGACCATTAAGGTTATCCATCAACAACAACAGCAGCAAGGAGGACACGGATACGCAGCCGCCGGTGGTCATGGTGGTGCTGAACACGTCAAAACCATTCAAGTTGTTCATGAACAAGCTGGTGCTTCTGCTGGTGGTCAAGGTGGTTACTCCTATGGTGGTGGTGCTGCTGCTGGTGGTTACGGAGCTGCTGAAGAAGTAAAAACCATTAAAGTTGTCCACGAACAAGGTGCTGCTGCTGGTGGCTATTCCGGTGGTTACTCCTCTGGCGGTCACGGTGCTGCCGAGGAAGTTAAAACCATTCAAGTTGTCCACGAACAAGGTGCTGCTGCTGGTGGCTATTCCGGTGGTTACTCCTCTGGCGGTCACGGTGCTGCCGAGGAAGTTAAAACCATTCAAGTTGTCCACGAACAAGGCGCTAGCGCTGGTGGTTATTCCGGTGGATTCTCTGCAGGCGGTCATGGCCATGGTGCTGCTGAAGAAGTAAAAACCATTCAAGTTATCCATGAACAAGGTGGCGCTGCCGCTGGTGGAGCTCAAGGTGGTTATTCATATGGAGGTCCCAGTTCCGGTGCTGCTCAAGAAGTTAAGACCATTCAAGTTGTCCATGAACAAGGTGCTGCTTCGGCTGGGGGTTACTCTGCCGGTGGATACTCATCCGGTGGTTATTCGGCCGGTGGTGCTAGCGCCGCTGCTGAACAAACTATTAAAGTTATTCACGAAGAGGCATCTGCTGGAGGTTATTCTGCTGGTGATTATGGCGGTTTTGCTGATGCTGGCGCTTCTTCTGCTGCTGGCTCTGGTGGCTTCGACGATGCACTTGAAACTTTGAAATCTCTTAAAGTTATCGGTGCTTTGGGTGCTGATGGTGGTGCCGGTGGTTATGGTGGTGCCAGTGGTGCTGGTTCATATGCCGGTGCTTCTTCAGCTGGTGGTTGGCAATAAGCCCACACCTCAAGTATTCTGTGATATTTTACAATCATACCACCACTCATCGTTAATCCCATATTGATCCATTGCATCGCTAGGGTATGAATGCTCTAAAATCTGTTGTTATTAGTTTTATAAGTTTAAGTCATACATAAATTCATTTGGCAGTCAATTCGGCCCCATCTAATTTAAATTAAAATTTAATAAAAATTTAATAAAAAGAAAAACATTTTGTATTTTATTTCATAAATTAAAAAATTCTCTATCATCAAACATTCTCAAATGTTTAAAACAGATGTTAGAGGTAAATTGCTATTTTGATATTAAATACTTCTAATAAATAAAAACTTAAATGTTTTCTTATGTTTGATCCTCCATTTTGGATTAATTTAATTTGATTTTCAAATTCTGATTTCACAGTTGCAATAAATCGTAGTATTTATTTCATCAATCCACTTTTCAACATCTTTGTCAAACATTCTTTGAATCCGGAAATGGGAATTATAGACCCATTCCTTGTATTACGTCCTCTATAATATGTGTAAATCTAATACAATGCTTTTAGTTTTTCCCTTTTGACCCCAACTTCACACAAAAGTAATATTTTTACAGTATCTGGGTAATATACGCAAATGCAGTCAATGGTCCCACTCCTTCTGGCAACTCCCGAATAAGGTTTGAACTTTAAGGATACATAGGGACTTTGGTGCACCATTTACATAAACTCGGACGAAAATATTTATGGGAGCTATATCTAAATCTGAACCGATTTTCACGAAACTTAACACACATCATTCTAGGCTTAATTCACAACGCTGTGCAAAATTTCGTGCAAATCAAAAGTTATATAGAGACTTTGGTGCATCTTTTACATGAAATCGGACGAAAATATATATGAGAGCTATATCGAACTCTGAACCAAATTTCCGAAACTTACCACTTATCATTCTAGACTCAATTCATTATGCTTTGCCAAATTTCGTGCACATTAAGGGATATATAGGGACTTTGGTGCACTAGACTTAATTCAGTACGCTATACCAAATTTCGTGCAAATCGAAAGATATATATAGGACTTTGGTGCACTATTTACCTAAAATCGGAGGAAAATATATATGGGAGCTATATCTAAATCTGAACCGATTTTTTCCCAATTTCAATAGGGTTCTTCCTTGGGGGAAATAAATGAGATGTGCCAAATTTCATCCAATTCAAATCATAATAGCGACCTGTTCTTTGTTTACAATTTAACATGGATAGACAGGCGGACGGACATGCATAAATCGACTTAAAAATTTATTCTATGCATATTTTCAAAAGGAACCATGTGTCTATCTCGTTTCTTTTTATCTCTTACAAACATATGCACAAAGACATAATACCCTGTACCACAGTGTGGTGAAAACTGTAAAAATCGTTAATCGAACTTTGGATTCCTCCCACCATAGGTATATTGACAGGTACTTAAAATAAAAATATATAGCATTTCCACATTAAATGAAACCTTTTCCAAATTAAATGAAACCTTTTCCAAATTAAATGAAACCTTTTCCAAATTAAATGAAACCTTTTCCAAATTAAATGAAACCTTTTCCAAATTAAATGAAACCTTTTCCAATTGAAATGAAACCTTTTACAAATAGAATGAACCCTTTTCCAATTGAAATGAAACCTTTTACAAATAGAATGAAACTTTTTCCAAATTAAATGAAACCTTTATTCTTATCTAAGGAAATATAATATTTGCACTAAATTTAAACCAATATTTGAAAATTAAATCAAAGAATATTAACAAATATAGTTGTATGGCTATGTAATTAACATACATATTCTTTAATTCGGTGTGATTTCATTTAATATCTTTACTTCATAAAACTAAATAAATAGTAATACAAACTGGGGTATTTCTTGACATTTTAATAAATAAATATTTAAGAACAGGAATTGAATACCCGGTCCTAAATGCGAAATACATATTTGACTTAATAAATTGTTGATGATAAGGTAACTGCTTATCTTAATGAAGGAGTTCCCGACTTGCAGCTTGTGGGATTTTCAAAACCATGTCCATAACGTAGTTAGAACAATCTTGCCGAGTAAGCTTTTGAATACTTCGCTCGATTACATCAACAATGTTATGTTCCATTGAAACGTCACACAGCTCAGCTCTTGGACATAATTTTATTTTTGAAAATGCATTTTCGATTGGATTTAGCATTGGAGAATAAGGCGGTAAGAATTTAAGGTTGCATCTTTTGGATTCGATCAAATTTTTTATGTCATGTCGCTTGTGTATTTGAGCGTTATTTTCCAACTCTGGATTGATTTTCTCAAAAAAAAAATCTATAAATAATTTAAATCTGTCTGCATTGACACTGGAATTAGAAACGATTGTGTGATGTACAACTCCCGCGTTGTTTATTGCTGCAATTATAGTGACATTACGACCTCTGACCGTAAGCAACACAATGTGTGCTCTTGTCCCTTGTCTTGAACGGGCTTGGGTTCTTCGTATGTGAAGATTAAATCCACACTCTTCAATGAATATTAATTTTTTGGAACATTGAAGGAAAATAAGCGTGGAGGAAATAGAACTAAGTTGTTGACACCACAAGTTTTAAGTCTGATCGAGTTCTACATAGAAAGTCAACCTGGAATTACCCTCAAAGCCATAAAAACTAAACTGTTGAGAGAAAATGATATAAATATTTCCACAAGCTGCATAGAAAATGGATTACGGAAATTAAAAATTACGTTGAAGATGGCCTCTATTGAAATAGAAGGAAGGAATGACTCCAGAACATTAGGCTTGAGACAAAAATATGCTCAAGACTTTACAAAATGGATACCCCAACAAGGAGAAAAATTAATATTCATTGATGAGTGTGGATTTAATCTTCACATACGAAGAACCCAAGCCCGTTCAAGACAAGGAACAAGAGCACACATTGTGTTGCCTACGGTCAGAGGTCGTAATGTCACTATAATTGCAGCAATAAACAACGCGGGAGTTGTATATCACACCATCGATTCTAATTCCAGTGACAATGCAGACAGATTTAAATTATTTATAGAAAATTTTTTTTGAAAAAATTAATCCAGAGTTGGAAAATAACGCTCAAATACACAAGCGACATGACGTAAAAAATATTGATTGAATCCAAAAGATGCAACCTTAAATTCTTACCGCCTTATTCTCCAATGCTAAATCCAATCGAAAATGCATTTTCAAAAATAAAATTATGTGCAAGAGCTGAGCTGTGTGACGTTTCAATGGAACATAACATTGTTGATGTAATCGAGCGAAGTATTCAAAAGCTTACTCGGCAAGATTGTTCTAACTACGTTATGGACATGGTTTTGAAAATCCCACAAGCTGCAAGTCGGGATCCCCTTCATTAAGATAAGCAGTTACCTTATCATCAACAATTTATTAAGTCAAATATGTATTTCGCATTTAGGACCGGGTATTCAATTCCTGTTCTTAAATATGTATTTATTAAAATGTCAAGAAATACCCCAGTTTGTATTACTATTTATTTAGTTTTATGAAGTAAAGATATTAAATGAAATCACACCGAATTAAAGAATATTTATGTTAATTACATAGCCATACAACTATATTTGTTAATATTCTTTGATTTAATTTTCAAATATTGGTTTAAAATTAGTGCAAATATTATATTTCCTTAGATAAGAATAAAGGTTTCATTTAATTTGGAAAAAGTTTCATTCTATTTGTAGAAGGTTTCATTTCAATTGGAAAAGGGTTCATTCTATTTGTAAAAGGTTTCATTTCAATTGGAAAAGGTTTCATTTAATTTGGAAAAGGTTTCATTTAATTTGGAAAAGGTTTCATTTAATTTGGAAAAGGGTTCATTTAATTTGTAAAAGGTTTCATTTAATGTGGAAATGCTATATTTAACATAAAGAAAAGTGGACCTATACCGACAGTTCTACAAACCGATTTATGTAAACCATAATGTACACCAAATAAAAATTTCACCAGGTTTTAATGGAGATTTTTCATAAAAACACTATTGACGACGCATGGTAGGGTGGAACACCCTAAAATATCGCAATTAGAGGACACAGTTATATGAAGCCTTCACCAACGGGTGGTTGGATGAAAGCTGCTGGTTCAATATGAAAATTGACATCGCAGAAAAAAATTGCATGAGTACACCCCTGGACGTACTCATAAAGCGGCATATATATCGATTACATCGTGTAGGAATTATCGAACATTTGTAGTTATTATTATATGAGGTGCTATGCCTAATTGAGGACTGATATAGATCTATTTCAAAAAATTCACTCAAGAACCTCAAAATAACAAAAATTGGGGGTATCCGTATATTGAAGATATGCCTAAACGTAGACCGATATAGCCCATCTTCGAACTTGACCAGCCTGCAGGCAAAAATTTTGGCGATGTGTCTCAATTAGTTTAGACGCTAAAGTGATTACAACAGATGGACATGGCTAAATCGTCATTGAATTTTAGGCTGATCAAGAATATATACTTTATAGAGTCGGAAATGGTTATTTCAATGAGAGAAAACCCAAATTATTATATCCTCCATACTGTGTTGGTGGGTATTAAAAATGGTTTAACAACTTATTTTGACAGCTGTCGAATTCCAGTCCCATAATTTTGAAACAACGAAATGGATAAGAATTTAGCAAAAATTAAAGATTAGAGTTCGTTTCAAAAAAATTAGGACGAAAAGGACACACAAGAAATTAATTTAGAAGGGCGAAATGCTCTGAATCTCAAAAAATACATGAAAACTACAAAACAAAAATGTGAAGCTATATCTTGATGTATAAAGTGTCGCCAGCAAAAAATTATCACACCTATGGTAAATTTTCCTTCTAGGGTTTTCATATACTCACCAAAGTCTTTCATATACTCACCAATATTGCTATTTCTAATATTCCCCTCGCTTGCCCCCTTTACTGAATATTTCATTTTATACATGATTTGCTATCATAGGGGAATACCTTTCATA